TAATCTTAATCTTAATCTTAATTTATAAATACAGTCTATAAAGCAATTCAGTCATGGTGGCTCTCAGTGGTATATAAAAACAACAGTTATCAATGTCCCATGCAATAAAACACAAAACAAATGCAGTTTAAAAAATTATACTTGATATAACATTCTTGAAACTGGGAGTTCTATATAGCTCCAATCTCCAAAGTCTTCCAAATGAACAATATTTTTAAATGAGTCTCATGGCTTATGGAAAGCCATGAGAATAGGAGCTATCTTTAAAGTATATGTGTGTTGAGGTTTTTTTTGTGTGTGTGTGGGGGGGGATATAATATAGCTGTTGCCATCATCTCATTCACCAATTATGTGATTTTAAAATACAGTTGCATCTAAAAGTATTAAAATTAGAAGTATGTGAATATATAATACCTATTCATATATATTTTTGTAAATGAGTTTTTCTGACTTCCTTAACTGTTTCTTTCTTTATAGATGGACAATGGGATTTGACAAATTACCATCTCTTAGATCTTGGCCGGCCTCATCATTCAATCCGATGTATGACTGTTGTGCACGATAAAGTCTGGTGTGGGTACAGAAATAAAATCTATGTGGTTCATCCGAAAGCAATGAAAATAGAGGCAAGTGAAAACATTTTTTCCCCCTCAGACTGGATTGATCTCTTTGCTACTTAATCAGAGAACCAGGAAAAACACTGTATAAACAGCCACTATATTGCTTGAAGCTAAGGGCCCCAATTAACCTCTTTACATATTTATGCAGCTTATTCAGTAAAGGTCCTTTAGCATGAAAAGTGTTCCTCCTTCAGTGTTTACACTGGCTTGTGTACTGTTTCAGGTATAGCAGAGATTCCTTCTCTATATTTGCTCCTTAACTCTTAGTACATCCCTTTCCATAGACCACATACCTTCAATTTTATTTTGATATCCAGAAGCCTTCTCACTTAAAACAATTTTAAATAATGATTATTAAATAATAATCTCTCTGCTTGGAGAAGATTTTTAAATATTCCTTTTTGAAGCCCATCTCTGGATGTTTTGGCACAGTGCCTGATTTGTAATGGGACAAAACATAAACTTATGAAACAAAAAAAAACCAATTAACATTTCCTTATTTATACCTTGTTCCTTGATTCTTTTTTTCCTCCAATATCAAATGATAATTTTTTTCATTTAAAAAAAAGGAATAGGAATCTGGTTTTCTCTTCTACTTTTCAGTGTCTTCTACATTGATATATGTTGCCCATACTCACAACTGTAGGTCTGTCTTGAGGAGTAATAAACACAGAACAGTGATCCAGTAGTGATATTGAAACTGGAAATACATGTTCGATCCTGATTATGATCCTGCTGCTTTAAGGATAGCAAAGTTCCATTGCTCCTCCCTGTAACAGTCAGCTTTACCTGTTCTAAACCCTTTGATCTTATCATGATGAGAGGAAGAGAGGACACACCAAATTTCAAAGGTGCTTTTTCAAGAGACAACTGGACTTTCTTGGTTTTTTTTGAAGACATTTTATTTCTCATCCAAGAAGCTTCTTCAGCTTTGACTGGATGATGGGGGAATGGAAGGATTATATTTCTTGCAAACAGCTGGTCCATTGCATTCTTTTTAGAGAGTGGTTGAGGCCACTTGGAGATTTATCTGTGTCCTCAGGTGAGTTGTTGAGACCACCTTCCATTCCTCACCATCTAGTCAGAGCAGAAGAAGTTTCTTGGATGAGGAATGAAACGTCTTCAAAGAAAAACAAGAAAATCCAGTTGCCGCTTGAAAAAGCATGTTTGGGACAACCATGACCTGGATGACTGAGAATCTCCATAGACGAGAGCACCAAATGAGAACTAACATAGAAAAGGGGAAGCTTAAAAGGAAATGAGTATATTCAGTATAGAGAAAATATCACTGAAGGCCAAACATATGGAACAAAATGAGACATTAGCATGAGCATTTTAAAAATAGCATTTTCAGAACTCACAAGATAGCACAATAGATACTAATCAAGGGATGAGAAGGCTTGCATTGAAAATCTTTTCACAATATAAAGAGAGGGAGAGAGGAAAAATGTATGTGTTCATGTGTTATTATTTAAGGAAGATTCTTAGACACTTGAGTGTATTTTAAAGGGAAAATAGGAGTGTGGAGAATTTTTTTTTGTTAAAAAGTATAACTGAGCCATAATTTTCTTTTAGAAATCATTTGATGCACATCCAAGGAAGGAGAGCCAAGTGAGACAGCTGGCATGGGTGGGAGATGGAGTGTGGGTATCCATTCGTTTAGATTCAACCCTCCGGCTTTACCATGCACATACTTACCAGCACCTACAAGATGTTGACATTGAGCCTTATGTAAGCAAAATGCTAGGTAAGTCCCATGCCTTGGAGGAGAGGTTGTTGTTGTTTTGGATGAAGTAAATTCCTTGGGTAGATAATATTTTAAGTGTTTTAAAAAGTATCCTCCAAATTATGGATACATGTTTCAATATAGAAAGAATACTAGGCGGGACACTGACAATAGCATCACCTTGCAAGAAGTAAAAGAAAACTTTATCTTTTTGAGATGAAGAAATCTCTAATTAAAAAAACATAGAGAAAAGGGAAACTTGGACATTTACCTTGGAAAAGGAAAAATATATAATTTTATTTGAAAACAAACAATATACACTGTACATACATTTTATACTTCTATGTAAAGAAGTTTACAATGAATTCAAGAAAAAGGTTTCTTACTATGGTATATATTTGTTTTCAGGTATATGCATACAGGTGCAGGTGTGCACATGCACAGCAGATACTATGTAATATACTGTAATCCCAGCAACTGCAACATCTGTACCATTTACTCTAGAACCATGATGGTGAACCTATGGCACGCCTGCCACAGGTGGCATGTAGAGCCCTCTCTGCTGGCAATCGAGCTGTCGGCCAGCTCAGCTCCACGGCACATGCGCGCACACCTCCCACTGGCCAACTGATTTTTGGGGCTCTGCTGCGCATGTGAAAGATGCGTGGGGCGGTCTTGCGTGCATGCATGGGGTTGCACACACATATGCAGGGCGGGGTGCGGGTGTGCGCCCTCCTCCCCCGGGCACCCCATTTTTGGTTTCAGGAGGCTTCAGGGAGGCCTGCCAAAACGGGCTGCCGGGGGGAGGGTGTCACGTGCATGCGCAGGGTGGTGGGGCTCATTGCAATATCAATGTGGGCACACACGTGCATGCTGTTGCGTGTGTGATTTCGGCACCCCTGGACAAAAAGGTTATCCATCACTGCTCTAGAATATTCAGCTACAGTACTGATAACTCTTATATTCTGAATCAGCATAGTCCTTCCAGATCGGAAACAGGGCAGGTTGGGAAAGGTTGAACTATGTAACTACATTTGAGCTTGCCATATTTGATTTCTTGCTGCCCTTCGTGCTGTTCCCTGAAAGATATTCTGCAGGATCAGTGAGTCCATGAACAGCATTGATGGTGGTGGTGGTGGTGCTAGGACTGGCAGGTTGAAGAAAAAAAAAAAGTCAGTAGAAGATTGTATCGGATCTCTGTCTCCTTTGTGAATGCAATTCTTCTGTTTTCAAAATAGCAACTGAGAAACTGGTTTTAGACTCTACAGGGTTTTTTGATTTCTTTGTTATTTAAAGAGTTTTCAAAGCTGGTTTTCTTGTTGTTGCTTACAAAACAAGAAGCTAGATGTAAACATTTCATAGATCTCTGAAGATTTTTTTTGATGTTTTAATGAATGCTGCATGCTTCTTTCAGGTACAGGAAAACTGGGGTTTTCATTTGTGAGAATCACAGCTCTGATGGTATCTTGCAATCGTTTGTGGGTTGGGACAGGAAATGGAGTCATCATCTCAATACCATTAACAGAAAGTAAGTTTATAAGAATGAGCAGGGTACCCAAGATTGCCAGCAATTTTAAACCAAGTGTGAAATATGGGACCAATATTCAGCGTTTTTCCAATGATGTGTAATCTATTTTATAAGCTCTCAGGATCTTCAGATTGCATCATCACGTAAACTGTAAAAAAATCAATCAGTCAGTCAATTGGGACTGTACAGAGATTTTTCAGTTTCTTCTCTGCCAGGCAACTTAACTTACTAAAACTAAATCTTGGTAAGGACTTAATGTTGCGACAGAAATTCATGCAGTTTTAGAACACAAGACAGTTGAACTGAGAGGAAAAAAACTATGAAAGCTGACTGGCAGATGTTGGGCCAGTGACTCTCTCTCGCAGCCCAACCCACCTCCCAGGGTTATGTGTGCGGAAAATTGGAGGAAGAAGGAATATTACTATGTTCACTGTCTTGAGACACTTATAAAGTAATAAAGATGTGGCAAAAATCAAATACATAAGAATTTTGCTTGTGGGAGCGTAAGGTCTGGCAACTGGAATTTTCTGCATGTTAATAGTGCTGAAATGTGGCCTTGTTCTGGGTAAAATATGTGTAGGAGGACCTCAGTTCTTCTCTGTTGATTTGATAATTAAGAGCCACGATCTTCAATTCAGAAAGAATAGATATTAAAATTGCCTTAAGAGATAGCATGAGACCAAATATGTTAAGATTAAATGCATTAAAGGAGTTTTTTTTTAAAAAAATACAAATAAATGGTTATAAGGAACACTTATTTAACAACTTTGTTGCAGTTCGATTTCTTTTCACAACCTCTCTTCTCTAGCCCACTACTTTAATATTCACTTGGTTTCCTTCTCTTCTTTTTAGTTGGATAGACTTTGCAGCTGTCTCTTTCCCTGTTGCTCTTCCAACCCCATAATGCAGCTGGAAAAAATAGGGGGGTGGGATAGCTTTTGTTCTGAGCAACACTTTAATTTTAATGAATTCTATATTTTTATTTACTTTTTTGTGTGGAATGCATGAATGGTGTACATATAGTTATGAAATTCTATTTTATTTAAATTGTTAGTTTTCTGCAATTGCATTGAAAGCCCATGGTCTTTTCATCCAAATTCTTCTGTTTAGGGTTTCCACATTGGGAATCAACCAGATTTATTAATACTGATATCAAATAGAAGTTTTTCTATATTACTGTCTGCAATTTAGAGAGAGGTGAAAGATCATTATAGAGCATTGCTATATAGTAAATATTCCTTTTAAAGAAATTTAATAATGAACCTTTTTCATATTAATTGCTTGAGTACCATATGCATTTGTTTTCCATGCTATACCATTCATTGATCATTCATTAAATGTCTGGTTTGGCTTATGTGTCTTCAATAAACAGAAATACTTCAAATAATGCATATATTTAAACAGTGAAAATTATTTTTCAAATTCAACAAAAATAAATAAGGAAAGAAATTATTCCTATTGGGGCTTGCATGCCCTCCTTTATTACGCTCTCTAGAAATGGCTTGTAATCTGGAAAAAAAGCAACTCTTCACCGCCAGTTTTCCATAAGGCACAAATTTTTAGTATCCTCCTTTAAGAGGTACTATGAAAGCGTTGTTGGAACAGCATATAACTAGGTAAGTATTTATATCCAAAAAGCTATCTTTTCGCTGCTGGTTTAACAAGCTGGATACTCTGGATTCTGCTTGACCAACAGGCAAATTAACATTTGACAGATAGTGCTCACTATCTGGGTGTGTGTCCCCCCCAAGAAATGGATAGGTTTTTTTATTCTTGAGGTGTGGGGAGGGGGCCATGCACAGTGTTTCTTAACTAAGAGGTACATTTGGCTTTTGATGGTGGTTCTGTCCAGACCATTAGTAGCTGGGACTAAAATAAAAAGGCCATCTAATTTACTTTTGATTACATTTGAAATTTTAAAAAAAACCCGAATCATCATATTCTCTAGTCATGTACCTAATACTTCCCCTTTTCTGACATATTAACACACACTATTTAGTGACATTTTTTGATAGTCTTGGGGCCATGCCCAAAATTTTGGAGGGTTAGAGACTGAATTTGTGGCCCTCTCTCTATCTTACCATGTGTTTAAAAAGAAAGAGGGAAAGGGGAATGACAGTATAACAGTAGGTAGCCAGTAGCTGTAGCAATAAAGCAAGGGTAATATTAATATTTTGCTATTTGTTTTGCCCATATTCTTCCCTACAAAGAAACGGTGTGTTTGTTCTAGTAACCTTACTGTGCCTTTGCTAGTAGGAGCTCACCCATGAAGCTCTTTTCAAACAGCAGAACACAAATTGTGGGTTCTGAATAATCCTTCTCCTTTGCTGTCGCACCTACCCATTTTCCCCTCTCCTCCTTTCTTACTTTAGCTGTAATCCTCCACCAGGGACGTTTACTGGGGCTGAGGGGTAAGTGCTGATCCTGAACCTACCCTGTATTCTCAGGCTTCTCTAATAGCCCGTTGAAGGCTGTTCCCACGTCTCTAAAATTCACCCCCCTCCCTGTTCCTAAGCTGTATTTCCACTTGGAGTTACCTGCATTGCAGTATTTTATGTTTGCTGAATGACCACCAATCCTACTCAACAGTTTAGTGGCCTCATATTTTGTTGCAGCTGAACTTTTCATGCTGGCTTCTTGTTTTTCTTCCAGTATCATTTGTGACACCATAACATTGTACCTGTCATTAATCCACACCATTTTTCTTTGGTTGCATATCACATTTCTTTCTTTCTTTCTTCTAGCACTCTTCAAAATGGAGATAGTTCTGTCTGTCTAGCATGAAAAAAGGGCAAAAATTGTAAGTTAAAAAAATTGGCAGAGGAACATAGTATTTGAAAAATGAATCGGCCAACAACATTCTTCTTTTCTCTTCCTCATCCCTATAATTGTACTGTTGACTTTAAGAAATCCAAGATTCGTAACTTACAAGGAAGGCTTCTTTTTAAAAGAAGCTGTGTTTATTCGCAGAAAGATAGTAGAGTAAATGTATTTAAACTACTCTGATATTTGCTACAACAAATTAGCATGGTTGCCCTAAGAATTCCTCTTCTAAAATTAAAAAAAAACCCTTTGGTTAATATTTTGAATATTTCTGTTTTACACATAGTTGTTTTAGGGAGTTTGAAATAACCTATTCAACATTGTTCATCCTGAACATAGACCTTTGAAATAGCAAAATGTGTGGTTATGCTCGACTAGCAAGCTTCTCCATTTTTTTTTCTGGAGGTACTTCCAACAACTAAGCATGCTATCTTTTATTTCTTTCTAGCTTTGCCTTGAATTGGCATTTTGTTGCCCTTTTATTTTATTTACCTGAGTTTGCTTTAGCTTCTAGATTGGATATCACAAGGTTCCTTAATTTATTTTTTACAACTTGCCCTTTCACTGGAAAATGTTTTATTTCTCTCGTTGTAGCTAACAAAGCAGCAGCAAGCTCTGGCAACCGTCCTGGCAATGTAATACGTGTGTATGGAGATGAAAACAGTGACAAAGTGACCCCTGGAACCTTTATTCCTTATTGTTCAATGGCACATGCACAACTTTGTTTCCATGGGCATCGTGATGCTGTTAAGTTTTTTGTTGCAGTACCTGGTAAGCTTTGTGTAGAATTGTATCCTTTAGCCTTTCATTTAAATAGGTGACTTGGTTTCTTCTCCATCATAAAGTACTTTTACAGTCCATCCATTGAGGAGAAATTGTTGTACATTAGTGTTCTCAAGGTTTCAGAAGAGGAATTTCTTTATAAAAGCACAGTTTTTTTCTTGGTTCATCCAGAGAAAATATTTACTTCTGATTTTTGACGTTGCTTCAGATAAGATGTTGAAACCAGCAATGATTGCATATTCATAAAGCTTCAGCAAATTGCTTGTTATAGGAGAAGATACAGATGGGAGAATAGTTTGAGACAGCAGCCATGTAGTTAGGGGAAAGCCACACGATACTCAAGTATAAACTGGGTGTCTTTTATGTTTTTGGGAAGGTTTTTCTATAGGATTTTCAAGAATTTATGGAGGGAAAGCACTTGCAAGTGTAGACCCCCTCCCCCCACTTATACTTCCACATAAGGAAGGGTCCTTTCCTCCCACAGTTGTCATGGCACATGACAAATTGCCTCAAACTTCATTAGAATAACCAGAGAACTCATTATGGTATCAGAAAAAGAATGGATTTGCATGTATCTGTCTTGAAGATACTGCACCTATTCAATTATAAGCATAAGTAGTATCATCAGTGATCAAAACCAACAAGATGAGGCACCATGTAGGAGAAAGTAAGAACAGTAATAGGAGGAAGTAAGAACAATAGTGGCAGGGTAGGAAATTGTCACAAAATTATAAACGAAGTAAGAGACTTTAAATGTGAATTAAATTTTATCCTGATGCTTAGGCTGTGTTTGTGTATCATCCTAGTCAGTGCTTTAACTTTGGTTTGCTGAGTTAATAATTTTTGGGGGGTTAGCAAGGAATATTGTATTGTAAGTTAACCATCTGGATTCACACAATACACTAAGCTGGTAGTATTATGTGAACCAGTCTTAGAGTAACAGCATATGGAAATTCTTGAACATTGGAAAGTATGTGATCATTATGAGACAGAATATTTAACACAGAAACTTTGAATCATTGGAAAGACCATCAAGGAAAGGATTACTAGAATGTAGGTAAAAGGTTTTTAAAACATTGACAAGATTTTCAGTTTATGTTTTTATTCACTTACAAGAGGCAATTGACTCAATACAAAGAAAGTGTTTTGCTACTGCTGCAATATTTGGATTATCAAACTGCTATTACTGTTACCACATGTGTTAGGATAACCTTAAGATACTTGCTCATGCATGTTGCTGAATCTTCTTTTTTACATCATTGCCACGGTTTTACGTTCTTAGACTTGGGCTAGTGTAGTAAGAAATATGTTTAATTGCAATAAGCATAAATCACAAACAGTGTTGTAGCAGCTGATATTCACAGCATTACTTCCATTTCATTAAATCTAATCCAGATAGTTTATAATACTCTGGCAGAGATACCATGCCTATCTTATCAGGATGAGAGCTAATACAAGGATGATAGCCTGCTTGCTTTCTTCCTTTCGTGGTGGTTAACTGTACAATCTTAAAGGAAGTTTTTAAAGTAACACTTCCATAGTGCAGTGTTAGAGATGGCTAAGAACACCAATCAAACAGCCACAGAAATTTATAATAGGATCATCTAGTAGTCTCCAAAGCTCTCTAACATAATTTTAAGTTTTAGAAACTTGCAGAAGATCAGCAATGCAGGGATCAGTTAAATCTCCAAGGGGAGACAACTCCATAATAAAGGGCTGGGATAGTGAATCTATGGCACGAGTGGCACAGGTGGCACACGGAGCCATTTGTCAGGGCACGTGAGGCATTGCCCTGTCAGCTGGCCATTCATATGTGCGCTGGCCAGCTGATGTCAGCCTTTTTTTGAGGCCATTTTTCACCCTCCCCAGGCCCCCAAGGCTTTATAGAAGCCTAGGCAGGGTGAAAACAGCCTCCCCCTGCCCCCCTGCAGGCCCTCCGGAGGCTTCAGGGAACCTCTTGAAGCCTCCGTAGGGCTAAAATCGGCCCTACGAGCAAACCGGAAGTCCGTTCCTGAACTTCCGGTTTGCCTGTAGGGGCGTTTTTTTGCACTCGTAGGGCCGATTTTAGCCCTCAGGAGGCTTCCCTGAAGGCTCTAGAGGACTAAAACCAGCCCTACAGACAAACCGAAGTACGTTCCTGAACTTCTGGTTTGCCCGTAGGGCCGGTTTTTTGCTCTCCGGAGGCTTCAGGGAAGCTCTTGAAGCCTCCGGAGGGCCTCCGGGGGAGGGAAGCATGCAAAAAATGGAGGGAGTGCTGATCATGCGTGCTGGGGTCGCGCATTGCATTATGGGTGTGGCACGCCTGCACATGCCCCCCTGCGCTCCCCCCGCTTTTGGCATGTGAGGCAAAAAAGGTTTGCCATCATTGATATAGGGCATCCATGTGAGGAAGTGTAGCTGGGATTCTGTGGTTTGGAAAAGCAGCTGCCACCGCCAGATAGAAATCCTCCCCACTCCCACTTCCCCGAGGTTCAGCGCAGCTTGTGCTTTTCCCCAAAGGGCCAGAAATTGAAGATGCAAGGGAAGCCTCATCCCACCCAAGCCCTTAGTTTACAAATGCAAACGCTAAGAGACACTGTATGGTGTGTAGGAGAAAAGGAGATAAGAAGACAGCAAGCAGATGGGGAAGTGGGAGGTGACATTTGGAGGTTGACAACTGTTAATAGGCAGCCAGCTAGCAGGACATAACCTGTGATGAGCAGTATATGTACAGATCTGCTGTGTTGTGATGTGTCCAGTCCTTGGTCAGCAAAACAAAAACAAAAACAAAACAAAAACCCTCACATACCATCATAGACTGAACAATGTCTAATAGTTCAGTTGGTTTGCCTTGTAAAAGTGAAAAGCTGATAGCAGCTTGTCTTGGAATCTATGGATTTGAGTGGGTCAAATCTAGTTGGAAAATATTCTTTCAGTCATATCTCATAACCATTTTGTATTTGCCTTGCTATTTGAAATGGAGAAACACTTTGGGCTTTGGAGTATATGAAGGCCATGGCAGCCAATTTCCACAAATGAGACGTATATTTTCTCTGATACCTCACTCCCCCCACTCTCTTTACACTCAGGTGTGTTCTGAAGTATTCTCCAACCTTCAAGCACAAATTTGAGGCCCCTCAGCAGCGGGAATTTAATCTAATTCCCAGAACAGGGCATTTTTATAGTTGATGGAAAGAGTTGAGTACAGCTCTCATAGTTAATATGCACTGTTCTTAAAATAGATAATCTATTCCTCCAAAATGGCCCTAAATTTTCTTTCCAGCTACAAAAGCCAAGTAGCTTTGGAAAGTGAAATGAAGAAGTCATTCCTTTTTCTGCTTTTGATATTGTGAGGAGTTTTGGGGGAAGTACATTAAGGCTCTCTTTTGAAAAGATCCATGTAATCAACTGGGCATTGCCAATTTGCTGTTACAATAAAGTAACACCAATACTTTGTCCACTTCTAGGTCAGGTGATTTGTCCTGAAGTGGATGGAAGCTCAGAATTATCTGGTGAAAGAACTACCGTCTCTGCACAGGAACCCAATAGCCAGACTCCTTTAAAATCAATACTGGTGATAAGCGGAGGAGAAGGATACATTGACTTCAGGATGGGTAAGAACTTCAACTTTCAAAAAGAAAATTATTATTATTATTGTTGTTGTTATTATTATTTAAAATATTATTACATTCTGGTAATCTAATCCAATAATTACATAAAATATCAAATATACAAATATTTTTCATTTTTAATGGGCACCTTAGAACATTCCCATTAAAATAATGCTCAATAAGGTAGCATTTGAATTAGGTGTGAGGGTGTCTTAATTTGAGGGTTTTTAAAAAAATGCAACTTTCTTTGTACGGACAGAAAATTAAATATGTATCTTGAACCTTATAGGCAGGCCAGATTTTTAAAAATGTTTTCTTTTTAGAAGCAGAACAATCTGTTCCTGTCAGGTAATAATGCCACTAAAAGCAGGGAAATATAATTATTCCCCATAGTTTGACTGTGTTTCAAATTGTAATTAGCTTTTTAGGGTCATAAAACTCAGGGGATCATTGAAATCTGATCTAGCCTCACTAATATAGATACACTTTCCCTTATGCAAAATCCTATTAAATTATTCTGTTTTTTACTAAAGTGTGATAGTAATGAAAACTATATATTGGGTGTGTTCAGTAAAATGAAAGCTCTGTCATTTAGTAAAGTGACTGTTAAGTGAGATTCCCATATGACTACTTACCATATTTTTCGGACTATAAGACGCACCGGTGTATAAGACATATCAAGATTTTGAAGAGGTAAGTAAGAAAAAAAAGTTTTCACCAAAACGGGGGCATTTTCCCTTCCCCCAGCCCTGTTGAAGCCTACAGAGTGCTTCTGGGGGGTGGGGAAAGTCAAAAACACTCCTGTTTTGGTGAAAAACAGCCTGTTTTTTGCCCATTTTTCACAAAAATGGGATGCAGGGGTGGGGTTTCGAAAGGCCAAAAATGGCTGTATTCAGTGTATAAGACGCACCAACATTTCCACGCTCTTTTAGGGGAGAAAAAGGTATGTCTTATACTCAGAAAAATATGGTACCTCAATGACTAATTTTGGTTGTTGGTTGCAGTTGTTAAGCAACTGTCATTAAGCAGATGGAGTGAAAGGGCTCCCTTCTTTGTGTGGAAGGAAATCTATGGGCTGGAGAAACAAGGAGGGATTGAGAAGGCTCTTCAGCCCAGCACAGGAGTTCCTCTCCCTCCTACGTGCAAGGAGCGGAGGAGAAATCCTTTGTCAGGCAACAGCTTGCAACTTTCTCCATTGACTATGCAGGGAAGCTGGCAGAGAAGATTGCAAATGGCAATCACATGATCACAAGGCACTTAGCAACTGTTCCTAAGTGCAAACAGATTGCCCAAGATCTTGATCACAGGACTTGGAGGGGTGTTTTATGACAGCTGGAAGTATTTTATAGATTGCAAAGCATTCTTTCTGAGCTGTCATAATTTTGAACAGTATTAAACAGTCAGTTGTAAGTTGAGTACTACCTGTACTTTCTCACCACCTTTCCATAATTCTGTTTAATGCCAAGATGAGAACCTGGGGACCTCCAGATACTACTCAGCTGCATTTCCCAGGAGCTCAGTCAGGTTGGCCAATGGTGAGGAAACCTGGGATAGTAGCAACAACACATGGGCCACTCCTACATTATGACAAAAATATTCCCAGTTATTCAAGTTTGTAGTTACTCAGAAATTGGACCTTTCCTCTTCCTACTTTATACATGCATTGTATTGATTAGAATTGTTTGTATCTTAACTGTTCACTTTCTTCAGAACGTTTGCATGGATAAATGCCAAGATACTTCCTGGAAAGTATTCATTTTAATTAAAGGGAAATTTCTGATGTTATTTTACAGTTGACCTTGTTTCTATTCTTTAGCTATATATTATTACACAAAAGGAAAAGGCCAGGAAGCAATTTCTTCTTAAAGTTATAATTCAATATCTTTTGAAAATTTTAGCATTTTCTAGAATGAGGGGTAGTTATCTCCCCTTCATCTCAAACTGATAATAAAATGTGACAGCTTTGGGGGAATGGGTGGGCGGCAGGGAGTATAATTCTTTCTAATCCACATATATATTATGAACATAAATATTCTTGCTTTCAGGTGATGAAGTTGGTGAATCTGAACTTCTTGGAGAAGCATTACCGATTGAGCCTTCCGTTGCCAAAGCTGAGAGGAGCCACCTGATAGTGTGGCAGGTTATGTGTGGCAGTGAATAAGCTCCAGAGGAAAATGGCTTGAGACTGCAAAAGCTTTTGCATGTCTTCAGTTTTGTTTTGTTTCTGTGGAACCCGTTTCATTGCAGATGATTTGAACGTTTCTTTGTCATTTGACTTTATATCATAAACCTCTCAAACCTTAACACAGGAACCAGCTCACGCTGTTTTACTGCATCAGTGTTACAAAGCGAGAATAAATTGGTCTTCCCAAGCAGATAAATGCCATATTTTGTCTCCTGAATGCACCTTATAGGCCCCCATTGCAATCTGTAACACAACTCTCCCCCTTACTTTCTACAATGAATTTACGTTTATATTTTGAACCATTTTAAATTCATTTGCATAAGAGTAAAATAGCAAATTAATATTCTGGGTAGTATTTCAAAAGCGTAAGATGTATGTAATATATGGGATTCGCTGAACACCTCAAATTATGATTATGATAAGTTAGAAGACTTTTGCTTTTTCATTTCTGAATCCTACCAATTTTGTGGACTTTTGTTTATATTGAGATTCTTGAGCTAAAACTTTACCAGACATTTAGTTGCGGAAGGTTTTTTTAAAGTTGCTAATCACACCAAAAATCACTACAGCTATCCTGAATAAATTTAAAATGTGGTGTTTTAAGGGGGGGGGGGGGGATACTTTTCCCTGTTTCCTTATTTAATGTAGCTTGGAAGCATCCAGTTTAATCTCAAAAGGGCATTCTTATATCAAAGCATCTTCCTTAAATATGTCTTGAGCAGAAGATAGGTACCTTTGTGTGCTCCTATTTATTGGATCCTGGGGATTCCAGCTCTTGCCATGGGATATAGAAGGGCTTGTAAGTAGTGAGCAAGCTAGCAGTAATAATGAATAACCTCAAATAAGTTTAAATTATATTACGTTTCAATCCATATTATCAGCCTACAAATGCCATTCAAAAGAAAGGTCTATACAGTATGTTGCGTGGTGCACTTAATAAAGTGGTGTATTCACTCATTTTAATGAATGAACACCTGTGTATAAAATCTGAGTGACCCATCTATAAATCTGAGGAATTGGAAAGATACTGTCATGCAACTTATTCTATCGTTTCACATTTAAAGTTTTGGACTGAGTATACTCATTTGCTATCCAACGGATGGCAAAGGTAAATTAAATGCTATCGTTTTAATCACTCAGAGGATAAACAGGTTCTCAATGTTTTCCTTGTTATAAAATAGGAGTGAACACACTAACATTCAGCTCATGTTCATTAAGAGATTCTAGCTCTTCCAGTTAGATGGGAGTTGCTATTATCTACGTGACAAAAGGGAAGAATTTCTAAATTTGAAATGCCAACATTTACAACCAGAAATTGTCATGGAAAACTGCCTAAAACGTTTTATGCAATAGGAGCAGTTTGTCATCTCTCAAGGAAACATGTATTCAATACACACACACACACACACACACACACACACACACACACACACAGCCCTACACCTTTTTAAAATCACATTAAACTGAGGTCTATTGTGTAAATATTTATTTAGGCAGCTTTTTAATAAAAGAAACTATAATCTTATCTGATGAAAAGTTAATACATTTCCCTTCAGATGTATTGATTATAGTTTTATATGTATAAATACTTTTTAAGCACCCTATTTTGTACACAATGAATGCATCTTGGTAGGTATGTATTTTAACCACAAAATGTGTGGCTAAAAATAACTGAGAATTGTTGAATGTTTAATACCTTTATATTTTGCCCTCTGATGTGCCCAATGTGATCTGATCACAACAGACTTAAAAATTTCAATTGCTGAACTGAGTTTAAGAATTTAATAAAAGAAACACTGATGGAAAAACTGTAAGAAGAATTAAGAGGATATGGATTTTCCCCCCTCAGAAATTGCCTCTGCTACACTCATGTAATCCATACCAGACTCACATTTCTGTGGCATCTTTTGCACTTTTCCATCTTAGGAAAATTTAATAGTCAATTTGGGAAAGATGTTCAGGTGAGTTGGCGAAAGCTTCACCATAAGTGCCTCTAAGGCACCCAGGAGCTTTGCCAAAAGAAGACAGATTCTTAAGTATTTGTCCTGTCCTCAGAGCAGTAGAAACCATTCATGCAGTTCATAATTCTAGACGTCCAAAAGACAGCCAGTTCCATTAACTTTGTTACCCGTTGCCTTTCAAGGGATCTTACTTGGAGGAGAGTTTTTGGAAATGTCCTCCTGGCTTTTCATGAGTGGTGAAATAGTTTTTGGAAAAAGGAATGAAATGCACATATATTGGTTTTGAATTCTGTTAAACATTTTCATTTCAAAACCATTGGTGAGCTGTTTCTTGCTCAGACAAAAAATGCATCTGGCTGATAATGTTTTATGACGTTCCAGATGGTAAATTGACATTCTGTCCTCATTTGGGCAACAGTCATTCACAGCAGAAAAGACAGGAGTCCACCAGAGAGATCAACACTTGTATTAGTGCAAGTAGGGAAAGAGCACCATTTTCAACCTCCATTTTAAAATTTATTCCCTGTCCTAAAGAATTGCAGTTTTAAAAGATGGATGTAGAAGATCCCTTTCACTTATACTTATACACTCCCTATTCCAGCACACTCTGTAGATGATAAAAATTTGCTAAAGTTCAAGCACCCAAATGAATGCCTAACAAATCTGTTTTGAGAGTGACATATGTTTAATGTAATTATAGTTCTAAAATCAGAAGTAGGAATGAATCTCTTGATAGTTAACAGCTTTGTTAATAGTTTGAGAGAGCATTTCAAGCACAAAAAAAATGCAGCACATGATTTGTTTGGGTAAATGTGTTTTGCATGGTAAAAGATAATAAGTTTATGTATTCTGCCATTTAGTTCATTTCTTGCAAGGTCTTCCTGCATTGGATCAGTTAGAGCTGGCAGAGTGTAGACACTTTATCATAGGCTGCCTTAGTAACTAAAATGTTTTATAATCTTCTAATATGCTAACTGTTCTAAAGAACATGGCGTTCTGAAAATAATGTTTAATTAAGTATTTATTTCCATGTGAGTATTATGAAAGCTACCAAAGGACTGAAACTGACTTGGCACGCTTACAGTTTGACCCTGTGCATAAAGGATTTTGTAAAGATCCCAAGTTTGTAAAAAAAAAAAACCGACAGACTGAAAAACACACTTCTTTGTGGATGCTAACTTTATTTTCTTAACAGGGTTATGCCATATTGTAACAACCTTTGTTTTGCACTTCAAAACATTGAACGCTAAATACTTCTCTCTAACAATGTCATTTCTACACACTTCTCTATCTTTTAAACATGTTTTAAAACATTTTATGGTCATTAACTTTTTGAAAATGTTGTCTAGACACTTTATGCTGAATTTTACTTTCCTCTGTAACCTTGAGATCAATACTGCAGCATTAAACTTGCTGTCTGTTTAAACTTGAGGCTTCTTTTCTGTGAGCTGATAAGCTCATATAGCAGTGAAATTATTTCAGTATTTATTATTGAATCCATGGGGGTTCAGAATGTAACTTTGTACATGAAATATATAAATATGTATATGAAAAACATTCTTGTTTTGGTGTATTTCTTATATCTGGTCAGCAGCAATTATAATTTATATGTAATTTGTACATGGGATAAATAACTTTTAAAAAAATAAAATAATACATGTCATGTATTAAAGAACATAGATTTTCTGAGGCTGTAGAAACTTCTTCACAACTCCCAAATTTATCTAAATCAAATATGAAACAGTGAAATTATCCTAATTTTAATGTTGAAAAAAGGAAAAAATAAACATGCTATCATGTTGGAAGGAATAGGGTGGGAAAAGAGATTCTAAAGTCATCTATGAAACTTCCCAAATTTGTATTAGCACATAATTTCCTTACTTGAACTATAAATGAAAATAAAGATATAACTTGTTTGAAAGCCCATGATACTAATTATTCTTTTTTTTATTCATAGGATATATTTTAATTAACCAACGAACCAGTCATTTATGGTTTGTAATTATTTGTATTTTGTCTTTTTTCCAGGAAGCCTCTTTAGGACAAGCTTGTAATAGATAAAAGTTGAGAGTGATTTGTCCAAAGCTTTCTTACAAATTTGATGACTCAAAAGTTTGTGCAAGTTGATTTGCATTGCTTAAGTCAGAGATAGGGATCCTTCAGTCACATAGGACTCCCAGTTTTCTTCCCTTGTCTAGGGGCCCTCATATTTGCCAAAAGTTGTCACCATGGTTTCTTGTCATTTTGGTGGCCAAGGGTGGGGACAGTTTAAAATTAATAAGAGCCAAGGTGGCGCAGTGGTTAAATGCAGCACTGCAGGCTACTGCTAGATCAGCAGTTCAGCGGTTCAAATCCCACCGGCTCAGGGTTGACTCAGCCTTCCATCCTTCCGAGGTGGGTAAAATGAGGACCCAGATTGTTGGGGGCAATATGCTGACTCTCTGTAAACCGCTTAGGGCTGAAAGCCCTATGAAGCGGTATGTAAGTCTACTGCTATTGCTATTGCTATATAAGTGGTAAACAAGACCTAGTACTGATTTCTAAAGAAAAGCTTCCAATATTTTCTTTAAAAAATTAGCATATTGTAGCACTCTCATGTGTGTGACACATCCCTGTGCACTTTATCATTTCCAATCTTTGTGGCTTTGCTTTCTAAAGGAATGTGAAGGGTATTAGAAGACACTAGAAGATTGTGTATTTCTGGATTAGGTAAACTTTGAAAAGATTCAGCACAGATGCTTGGTTTAAAAGCTACTGTTTTCTTCTAACCACAAAAGTTATCTCGCTATTTGTACATGATAGTTTCTTACCACCTAAGCTAATGGTAAAATAGTCTACTTCAAAAATATGTTCATAAATAGGTAATCTATAACTGCGAGAAGTGGTTTTAGCTCTACCATTGTAAACCAGATTGCTGCTAGTTTATCAAAGAGATAAAACATATTTCCATATGCTTACCATTATTGCATTCTAGTAGCTTCCACAAGTTTTGATTCAGTGATGCCTGGGGACAAGGTATAAGGCCATTGAATAGTTTGCTTATTTTGTGATACAATTCTAAGAAAGAATACAATAATTTTCAGAAAATAGCTCTTCTTTCCATCCAGTCTCAAAAGGAATTATTGTTTCTGGCAAATTATCTGTGACAATCAAATTGATACAGTAATCCTTGCTAGGCTCAAAATGAAATACTTTAGTGAAGAAAGTGGCTATTTGCCACTTATTTCCCCCTTCAAGGAAAAATGGTACTCTTAAAGTCTAGGCAATGAAATGTTTTTATAAAAGTTGGAAAATAGGTTCAAGTTTATTTCTGTAATTCTCTAAAATTGTAATTCTGGGTAACCACTATGAAATTTTGCCAAGAAGAAGCTGAGTAAGAACAGATTTTGCAGCTAAATAGATCCCATGTCAGATATGTTTATGTTTCACGAATTTGCACAAAATTCTTGTAATAAATGATTATAAAATATGCATGTGTTTTTAGAAAACCTGCATTTGAATCTATGAAAATATTAAAGATGTCTGCATAATACCTGATATACAATTTGAATAGTAATGTTAGATTTACATTAAGTTTAGCGTAGCCATTGACCTCCTGAATATTGAATTATAACAAAGCATTTACTTTGTTTCCAGATAACATTTTCACTATTCATATGACTTTTTAAATAATTACGCTTATTCTCCCAATTTTTTCTCATTCTTAAAGGCACTTCGCATTGTTTTTTTAAAAGTATTGCCTTTGTTTTCAATTTGCATTTTTTCTTGCATATGTGCAAAATATTAAATATGATTATTGAGCTAAAATGAATATAATTTTCCCAATGAATGAAGCTGGAATGGAAAAATCATTAACACTAGGTTTTACTTTCAATGTTTTTAATGCACACTGATAAAGCATTGGCACTGAAACCCACCTAAAAGACTAGCAGTTCAAGCCTAAGAACTAAAAGTAAGTTCTGATTTCTTGATTTAATTTCATCTGTTCAGGAGCTTGACTTCTTTTGAAGTTAAAATGTTGGGCATTTGGAAATAAAATTATTTTTTTCTGTTGACTGAAGTGTGAAGATTGAGAGACATGACAATAAGTTATGGAACACCCCTTTAGATTATGTTGAGCTAACTACAGATCCCAGCAGCCCAACCAGTATGGTTAATGGGCTACACTGGGAGGTTCAGTTCAGCAACATTTGTAGAGCCACAACTGCTGGAGGCTCAGTTTGAAAAGAGGAGGTCAGGCCTGCTGTTTCCCTACAGCCATCTTTTTTCTACCCTTGTAAAATCCTCCAACTGAACTTGACCCCAACAGAGGAGAAGATATTCAAGGGTTTGTAACTTATCCCTGCTATGCATTTGGTTTTGTAAATATTTCTGTTATACAGCCCAAATTGTGTTCAAAGCTAAAAGTGTTCAACCACATATGCTTTCCTGCAAGGCAGATCTCATTCCTTGCATCATTTTTGGCATATTTTCCAAGCTACAATATCCAGTGCTGAGGTACAGTAGCCAAAATAGTCCTACAAGTTATATTAGCAATTTATTTTTGATCTCTCTCTCAATATGAGTCCCCAGGATGTAATTTGTTGTTGTTTTTTACAACCACCACATTCTGAATCAGCATTTCATTCAGCTTCTACCACCCTTCTTGCAGCTAGCCCTTATCATGTATACAAAATTAGGAAATGTATACATACTTTTGACTGTTTATCAATTAGGGTTATACAATCTATCTGTTTTGGAAAAGGCATTACTTTCCACTAATAAAAAAGTGCAGCAATATGTTACTTTGGCAACTACTATGGCAAGGATTCTATGACATCTTACAATTATATTGTAAAGAGCCCTGGTGGTCCAGTAGTTAGAACGCAGTATTGCAGGCCAACTCTGCCCACTGTGAGGAGTTTGATCCTGATTGGCTCAAGGTTGACTCAACTTTTCATCTTTCCAAGTTCGGTAGAATAAAGACCCAGATTGTTGGGGCAAGATGCTGTGTGAACTGCTTAGTGCTGTAAAGCACTGTGAAGCAGTATCTAAGTCCAAGTGATACTGCTAAATACTGTATAGTTCATAATAATAGTGAATTTATTGGTAAACTAGTGACTTGGTAAGTATGAAATATAAGGTAGTTTTTCTTCTTAGATTGTACTTTTAGTTTGAACATATAATTTTCAAAAATGTCTTTTTAAGATTAAAAGTGGGTAGGTGGGGCATAGCTAGAAATCTTGTCAGTAGCCCTTGAAAGCAGCCAAGTCTTGCCTGCAATGACTACCCTGTATTTAAGGAATTCCTGGAAACTGGGAGGTGCACAGCCTGGTACACTGAACAAACTTCAGCCCTTCAATTCTAAAGGGCTCCAGAGCAGGCATGAAATTCAGCAGATAGCAGAAATTTTGAGTAGTTAGGAGAACCGGCAAATAGCACTCNGCTCAAGGTTGACTCAGCCTTCCATCCTTCCGAGGTGGGTGAAATGAGGACCCAGACTGTGGGGGCGATATGCTGACTCTGTAAACCGCTTAGAGAAGGCTGAAAGTCCTATGAAGCGGTATATAAGTCTAACTGCTATTGCTATTGCTATCTAGTTTCTCCCTCTTACTAGAGCCTTAGTAGAAAGCACAAACAAATGCCTAAGCATCCATTCTGGAGAGAACAAATTTGGGTTTCCTTTAAGGCAAGGGAAAAATAGCAGCAATGCTGTGCAAATCTATCATAATATAACTTGTTTTCCTCCTATGTATTTGAAAATTTAATTATAGTTTAGTAACAAAAACTAAAACTAAATTCAGAGAGAAAGGAAAGTAAAAAGGAGAGGAAAAAGTGGAAAGATTTTTTTTTTAAAAAGAAGAAAAAAAACAAAGAATGAGATGAAGAAAAAGAAAAGAAACAAATAAAGAAGTGATTTCCAAACTTTATCACAATAGTATAAACAAATTTGGTAGGTCTTCACCCTCATTAAAGTTATAAATAGAGATATCTTTTCCCCATAACCCATCTCTTATCCATAAGGAAATCCATAAGACGTATGATTTTTATATCATAAAAATATATCCAGTCTTCATCAAATGAACTATCTTTATATTCCTTCCCTTTATTTCTGAAAATGTTACTCTTTAATTCATTCAAATATTGTTGTAGGGTTTAATCTCTCTTCAATTCTTTTTGTCCCATCATAAAGGCTTCTTTGAGATTAACGAGCCTCTTTTGAAATCCAGTAAAAAGACATTATCCAGGAAATTGACTTGATTTATCTTTTGTATTTCCCCTTTAATTTTTAAAATTTCAACCAGTAGAGTCCTTATTGAGGCCATTCTCTTGCTCTGTCACTTGCATTCCCAATTTAAATGCCTTTTCTGTCTTGTAATCCACACTTTTTCAATTCACTATTTCTGATTCTATTATTTCCACATCAAGGAAGTTTTCCCCCCATATCTATTATTTCTTTGTTAATATCCTTTAGACATAGTCTATCCAAAGTAGCGGACTTCATTACAATATTGTTGATATTGTGGCTACTAATTTCTGGCCGCCTTCCTCAAATGTTCTCCTTTCAAATATTTCAA